TGTGTGTGTGTGTGTGGGGGGGGTGTCCCTGCACTCCTGCGAGACGCTCTATCCGCCCCACCATCGCAGCATTCACGGCCATGCCTGGTACCTTGAGGCACGTAGAAAAAACATTTAAAGCTGTGTCTATGCCTAAATTGCCGATTCTCCAAATCAGCATTGAATCTTCAGATTCGGATTTGTCCGAATTCAATCAGGACAGTGATCCGAATCAACTAACTGATTCACTGTCCCCTGAATCAGGCTGAATCCGAATCAAATACAGCCTGTTTCGCACACCTCTAAATTGCTTAGTCATTTTTCCTGTAGCTCTTTCTTAGCACCCCTCTCAAGATTTTGTTACAGTACTTTCAGATAAATAAGAACTATGAATGCACTTTCAAGACTGTATTAATAGAGCCTGTTCAACTCTGTCATTTGTCATTCTACATAAGCAAAGAATGCCCTGAAGTATCACAGAGGCAGGAATAAGGATGGTAGCACTGAAGATGCTGCAATGGTACCTTAGACAGCAGCTTCTGTTGTTGACTGTGCTTCTGCCTTAGAACTGCCACTTCCTTCCACAAGGCCTTATTTTCTCTGCAATGCAGAATAAATCAGAAGACAGCAGATGAACAGAGAGTTTACTTGATACACTCTAGTTCCACAGTTTTCAGAGTCCAATATTAGCCTGAAGAACCAAACATTCCTTCCTCAGGAAAGTGAAATCAGCGACTCAAACCCACCAGTCCAGATTTGGGCTTAAACTCACTCTATCCCCTACCAGGCTCAACCAACTGTACAGAGAATTTTAATACCCTCTCCTGCTCAGCTTGATCTGAGGTGTCCATCCACAGCCTCAAGAGTCACTTAAGTTCTTAGAAGAAAGCTGAGAACTTATGTCCAGAAATAGACTTGATATAGCATAGACCACCTCTATATGCAGTCCAAAAGAAAATTTCAGAGAAACACAGAAAATGATTAGGAGTGGGTAAAAATAGAATCATAGAAGTCGGGTCGGAAGGGACCTTGTAGATCTTCAAGTCCGACCCCCTGCCTGGGCAGGAGAAAAAAACTGGGCTCAAATGATCCCAGCTAGGTAGGCATCAAGCCTCCTCTTAAAGACCCCCAGGGTAGGATCCAGCACCACTTCCCTTGGAAGTTGGTTCCAGATCCTAGCCGCCCTGACTGTAACGTAGTTCTTACGAATATCTAATCTAAACCTACTCTCCAATAACTTGTGGCCATTATTCCTTGTTATGCCAGGGGGCACTAGGGGAAACAAGGTCTCTCCCAATCCCTTCTGGTCCTCACTAGTGAGTTTACAGACTGTCACCAGGTCCCCCCTCAGCCTTCTCTTGTGAAGGCTGAACAGGTTCAGGTCCCGCAGTCTCTCATTGTAG